CATGCGAAGAACGTCTAGATCTACTGTCATGGTGAGAATGAATGAAGATTTTGAGGAGGAGAAAGAAGTCTTCCAAAAGAAAAATGCAAATGAAACTAACCTCAGAGAGTGAGAACGGCAAAAAGTGCTGCAAGGCCACTGGAAGGAGGATCTTTTGCAAGAGATCGCCGGAGAGGATTTGAACAACAGAAAGTGAGATGGAGACAGTAAAGAGGATCAATGGAACATCTATGAAGCTTATAAAGACAAGGTGAGCCCAAGGGCCGAGGAGTTAGGAAAGCGATGAGTTTTTTGAATCTCGAAACGCCGACCCCTAAAACTAACCGTCCATTCCCCCACGCGATCTTCTCGAGCCGCCAGGTCATGATTAGCCCCTAATCAATAAGGGGTAATTATGGGGGCAATTGAGGATGCAGCAAGTGGCATGGGTCGAATATAGTTCGCTGGAATGGGATCGGGTCGAACAATTGAAGTATGGCCCATGCCAAAGCACCTCGGAATGGGCCGAACCTGGAGGATCCACCGAGGAAGATCAAGCCCATTGGAAGATCAGACCCAGAAGGAAGAAAACTTTTGAATATAGGCCCAATGTAATCAGTTAACAATAATAATTGTAATGGTCTATAAATAGACCATTACAGGTGGATAAGGGGAGAAAATTTTTTGGATTCTATTGAAGGGTAAGAATTTTAGAGAGAAAAAGAAGAAACGAATTCTTGCATCTTCAGTGTTAATTTCGGCTGAAAACTTTTACGTTGGATTCTAAAATGGCGTTTTCTTATTTATAAGAAGTCTGATAATTATTTTGGAATTTTTGTCCTAATCTAATTGAACTCTTATTACTCTTAAATTTATTACTTAAGCTCCATTAATCGTCATGGCAAACATAATCAAGAGTTGACAGAAACTACTGTCACAAAAAACCACGTACTAAGATATAAGATATAAAGTTATTTAGCATCAAATTCTATCCGCCATCAAATTCGACGAAATATTAATATTTTACGTTTGATCAACAGACCATGCACCATATTCTATCCGCCCATCAAAGTGACCGGCATTAGAACAATAAATTCGTCTGACGTACCCCCAAAAAAAAAAAAAAAAAAAACAAACAAACAATAAATTTGTCCTGCTGTTCCCAAGTCCAGTGTATTCACATATTGTAAACCTTCAAACTATTACTAATACGAAGTTTTTGTTTGTTTGGTTTTTTTTTTTTAAATTTGGGACATAATTTTGAAGACGAATTCGTTTTCGATTGGACAGAAGTATTTTTTTTTGGATGAAAACTACCTATTAAGAAACACACACTAACCTTAGGTTGTGGTTAATTTGTGTTAGTTTTTGGCTGAAATCTTTGTTTAGAATTCCAAAATTGTCATTTCTTATTTATAAAAGCCTATTAATTATTTCAAGATTTTTATCCCTTATCTAAATGAACTCCAATTACTCTTAAATTTTAAATTTAATAGTTTTTATTGATTGGGTTTCTTACTCTATTCTTTTCAAATTTTGTTGAGTGGATTCGTGTTGTAGACTTGTAGTTAATTTCTTTATGATTTAGAGTTTTTCTTTCATTATAAATTCAATTATTAATACAATATTATATTTTTTTAAAAAAAAAATTTGTCTCTTATTTGTGGATTCAAAGTTATTATTTTTTGAATTTAAAGTAATTTATTGTTCCTTGTAAATAACGTTAATTCTTGATTACGTTCATTTATTACTTTGTGCATCCATCGAAATATTCAAGGAAAATTTCAAGTCCCAAGTACATAAATATATATATATATATATATATATATATATATATATATATATATATAATTTTGCAAATGATTCTTTAAATTATTAATTTGACAAAAGGCCTCACACATATATACCAGGAGAGGGGCATGCCCCCCAGTCAAAAGTCATGAAAAGTTTCAAAGTCTTCTTTGTCAACCTAGGAAGAATAATAATTAAAAAAAAAAAAGAAAAAAAACAGAAAAAAATAAAAAAGGAATAGCTTCGTACCATCTCACTTTTCTATGCTTTTATAGTTCCTATTGGATCCTTTTAATTTTTTTATTTACATATCTATGTCATTTTTTTACTAACTATACATATAAAATAAAATAAAATATTTATTTTAATATATCAATGTTTGACTTAGATATATTTATTTTCGTATCCATCTAATAAATAATAGAATACTTTTGGCTTATAAATTTTTTACATTAGATCTTTCCATAAATGATATGAAAAAATTATTAGTAGTGAATCTTAGCTCCGTCACTGTTGATAGGATTGAAGGTATAATTCAGACTTAATTAGATATAAGTTCAATCTTAACCTAACTTTCAACCCAAGCTAACCAACTCAACCGATCGAGCCCAACCCATCTTTAAATTTTTTAGATCATATTGATTTCAGACGTACAACTCAGCTAAGATTTTGGATTAAAATTCGAAGTGTCAATTTTTTTTCTTTATAAACATTGTATACCAAACTGACTTTATGTAACATGTAGATTACTTTCTCATTCTTTTATGTGTTTGGAATACACATGATGTACCATTAGGAATAATAACTAAAATAATTGAAGATATTGGCCTATACATCATATGACATATTAACAAACCGACAACTTACTAGACCAACTCGAGTCTAGACCATAATTTGAAATATATATAAAAATAGTATATTTTAAATTTTTTTTAAAAAATTAATATTCGAGTTTAGATTAAATTGGGATTGTTGACACCTCATCCCAAGTTTAATCCTAATTAAGTTTGGATTGAGAATTTTTAACTTAGGGTGCGTTTAGTAACATTTTCGTTTTCTGTTTTTGCAGTCTTAAGAAAGTAGAAACATGATTTTGCTTTCTTGAGTGACAATAGAAAACAGAAATGATGCTTATTAACACTTGTTATTGCCACAAATTTAAAAATATAAAATAATAACTGTGTTTAGTAATACAATATATTTGTTACAAAATGTACATAATATTTTTTAAATTTTATATTTTATATTTTATTTTTTTCATGGCAAGAACTTTAGGAGTTAGTGATTAGAGGGGAGGGTGAGGGGGAGGGTAATGACTTGAACACGAACTCTCGGACACAGGGAGCAACCTACTCAGGCACGACACTTGCTTCCATTGATATAAAAAAGCCATAAATCTAGAAAATCTAATTTAAAATTATAAATCTTAAAAATACCCAATACATCATAGCTACAAAATTAGATATATCAAAGAAAAAAACATTCCCGTCGATTTTGTATATAAATACATGTATATACATGATGTATATATTTATTATGTGATATATAATATATTTAACATGTGATAATTTATTATAAATAAAAATATTAAATAATATATCTTATATGTAATAAAATATATATTGTGTTATAATATTGTAAATTAATTATAATTTAATATTTACATATGATATAATATAGATATAATATATAATAATATAAAATATCTACTGCTTAATAATTTAATAACATTATATTCTATATCAAAAATTATTTTGTCACAAAAAATAATTTACATTATTATTTAATATATTATATATTAAAATATATTTTTATCAAATAAAAAATAATATATAATATATATTAAAAATATATATTTTTATTAACATTTAATATGCAATATATATTAAAAATATATATTTTTATTAACATTTAATATGCAACTTAGTATATAACACAAATAATATGAATTTTATTTGAAATGAATAGTGTCTGTATAATGACATTAGTGAAAACGTTTCTGCGCTACAGTGCCGAAAATATAAGAAATATCATTTTGATGTTTCCTCTTTTCTTCACAAAAATTGAAAACGTTTTCTATTATAGAAAAACAAAAACATTTTATTGAACGTGATTTTTGTTTTCATTTTGTCTTTTTAAAGGTTGACAACAGAAAATAAGAAACGTTTCTCATTACTAAATGTAATCCTAATAAGTCTAACCCTAATTGTAAAAACGATTATTCAAGTTCATACAAAATCGAGCTGGGACTCGGGTTGGGTTTGAGTTGGCCTACCCAAGTTACATCCCCATTTTTTTAATATTAAAAAATTATTCATGAATGTGGTTTATTATTGGTTATATATTCATGCATCAAGCTTTTGATTTGTTAACATGAGAAAAAAAATATTGTCTTGAACTCCATTATAAGTGAATTAACTGCGTAAATGAGTGCGTTTTTTTTTTTTTTACACAGAAGATTGATCAGTTTTCATATAACTTGGCTTGGTCCAAAGCTAGTGATAAGAAGTTGGATACTTTTATATGTAAATTGGAACATACACACTAATCTCTAGGGATGAAGTGGTATGTCTCAATCGATGGGACAGTTGGCTTTAAATAGTGCATGGTAGAGCGTGGAATACATAAATAGATACTGTCATAAGATCACCATTATAAAAACTACATCATTGTGTTAATATAATTCTTTTAATCTCAAGAGATTTAATGAACTCAAATTTTGCATTAAGTTTTTTTTGTGGAAAGTCAGTTTATTGATAAAGAAGAAAAAAATGTGTACAAGAGGCAGCAACCCAAGGGGCAAGGCCTAGGGCCGTAGCCCAGACACCAAAACACAGGCCACACAAACAGCCCACCAAAAGATCCTAACCCAAACAAAGAGAAAAGCACCAATAGAGGTTTGAAAGCACAACTGAAGGCACAGTCATGATCACGCTTCGGATCGGTTTGGGGGTAAAGATCAAGCCGAACCGGTCCCACGGATTGGTAAAAATTGAAACTGAACCGATCCATGGGGCTTTCAATTCGAACCAAACCAATCCGTGAAGTAACGGATCGGATCGGTTTCCACGGATTGGGCTTTCAAACAGCCCAATAGATTATGGCCCATTAACAGCAATACCAATAAATTCTATGTACAGCATTTAAAAACAATAAACCTTGGTTTTGTTTGACCTGGTATTCTACAATAAGCACTTCATGTCTCTAACTGCAGAGAAAGAGTAATCAGCTTGAAACTAACAGAACTGCTAAACTTCTTAAACATCTATTGCTTCTTACCAAGGATTGATATGCTTATATACTCTCAGCACAGTTTGATTATTCTTCCATTTGTAAGATGAGATTATGCAAGGTTGGTTGCAAGCACACTTTTTTTTTTTGGAAAGTAAAGCAATTGTATATACAAATATAGAAAATAATTACAAGCCTCAAAGGAAGCCCAATAAGAATGAACCAGAGAAGCCCAATGATAATTGAGCCAAACACAGCAATAGTCAACTTAACCCAAAACCATTAGTTCAGGAGCATAGTCCATTCGCCCTGCCCAACCAGTTAAAGCGATGAAGCCAAGCCCATTTCGCAATGCTCTTGGTAATGCCCTAGTTTTGTATAACTAAGAGATCTCTAAACAGTCCAGTGACCACGAATAAGGATGGCGATGGTGAACGGTGACATCATCTATTAGTATTGCTGCAAGTTGTACGAGATCAAATCTTCCTCAGTTCGCCTACTGGTCCTCTAGAACAGAAGCTGATATGCTTATCTTCCCGAGCAATGAGCAAAAATGTCACACAACTTATAATCAGAGTTTAAGAGAAATAAAAGGAAACAGCATATTATGTAGATAAAATCATAAAATACCGGTCAAAGAATTTAGGGACCAAAATGACTCCATTACAGGAACTTCTATACAAAACAAAAGGTAAAATATGTAGATAAAATCAAAAAATTAAGTAGATAAAATACAACCCTTTTCTGGTAATCAAACAACAGAGGGAGATAAAATAATTTGTAAGAAGTAGATCCAGTAGAAGAAAAGAGGAGAATAAGAAAAAACAATTTACAAAAAATGTTCAGAAAGAGAATAAGAGGATCCATGCAAAAATCAGTGAACTCACCGAAAAAGACGTAGATCCAGTCGAGGAGGTCGCCGTTGCTTCGATACGCAGAGGTCGCCGTTGCTTCGAATCTGGTGAACGATGGATTGAGAGGTGCTGGATTGAGAGGTGAGAGAAGGAGGAAGACAGAGGCGGAGACTGAAGATTGAAAACAGTCAGTCTCACAGAGGCGAAGAGAACTAGAGAAGAGGGAGAAGAGACAAGAGAGAAGACTGGAGAAGAGGCCGCGGCTGTAATGAAATGAGATGAGACTAATGAGTTTGGGAGATAGGGTAAACTTAAAAGATTAATGAATAATAAAAAAAATATACAGTAAGCAATAAGTAATACGGTATATTCAATATTGTTTATACATATAATATATTAATATACTATTTAAGTAATTATTCCGTTCGGATTGATTTATCGATTCTGATAGGTAACGGTTCAGTTCGAATTGGATCGGTTAATGGTTTGAATCGATTTTTTCAGGGTCCAATTCGTTAACTGAATCGGGAATACCTGATTGCAAATTTTTCAAATTATCACTGAACTATAAGATCTGAAAACCGAACCGAACTTCACGGATTGGATTGGTTTAGATCGGATTGATGAATTGACGAATTATTTGCTCATCCCTAAGCACAAGCCACAATGGACTGAAGTATTTTGGTTGAAAACTACCTGTTAAGAAACACACGCTAACCTAAGCTTGTGGTTTGTGTTAGTTTTCGGTTGAAAACTTTGTTTAGGATTCCAAATTTTTTATCCTTTATCTAAATGAACTCAGATTGCTCTAAAATTATAAATTTAATAGTTTTTATTGATTGGGTTTCTTCGGTAATTCTTTTCAAATTTTGTTGAGTGAATTTGTGTTGTAGTTAATTTCTTTATTATTTAGAATTTTTCTTTCATTATAAATTCAATAATCAATATAATATTATATTTTTTTAAAAAAATTTATCTCTTACTTTGTGAATTCAAAATTCTTATTTTCTGAATTTCATAATTCTGTTCCTTCGTTACTTTGTGCATATATATATAATTTTGAAAATGATTCACTTTGTTGTTAAAGAAAGCGATGAAGGAGAATTATATTATTGACATAGATTATTGCTGGCTATGGGACCAGGAGGGCCATGCCCCCTACTCAAGAGTCATGAAAAGATCTATACTGATATGGTCGACGAGGACATAAAGTGCACAAGCCCAAACATGGTCCCCAAAAAATTCGCTGTAGTACTCTCATTTGGCATTCAGTCAATAATGTTATATTTATTACAGGGCAAATTGTAAAAAATTCTCCTGAATTATTAGTTAATTGTGAAAAATTTCCCTTATAAATATTTTTTACAAAAAATTTCTCTCAACTATTTTAAGAGGGTGTTTTTAACCGTTTTCCATTTAAGTGATTGTTTAATAAAATTTTTCGGACGAAATTATTCCCTTAACAGATTATTCTTCAGACAATTTATTTATTTATTTTCTCTCTTTTCTCTAGCAATGTATGTGAAGCAGCAAAGCCAATAAAATCATAGTTAAGCTATGTATAATTAATAAAATAAAGTTGAGCACAACCACACAGGAGAGAGAAGATCCACCATGATATTGAAATAGAAGGTAAAAAAATTAAGTAACTCAAGAACTCCTTCATTGCACTTGATCTTTAGTTGCTATTATAACAATTAATTTTTTAAAGAAAATAATTAATAATTTGCCATGTTTCTTTAGTTCAATTTCTTTCTTTTCCTTAATTGAATTATGCTACTTCAAGGTAAGTTGGACTAAAATTGGCAATTAAAAAGTAACATAATTTCTTTTTCAAATCTGATTTTTTTTTTTAAAAAAAAATTATTTACTTCGAGAACACCAAATACCCCAAAGTAACTTTTTGAGACGAAATTGTTGTAATTGATGTACTTAAGTTAAAGACCTATAAATATGAAAGTTTTTAATGTGAAAGGACATCGTTGCCCTCTATTCAATTCACAAGAATCTAATTATAAATGATATTTAAGTAATTTAGTTTGAGAGAAATACATTTATCATCTCATCATATATTGTTTTGATTCTACCACCTACTACTCGAAAATTATTTTGATTCCACAATTAGGTTTCTCGATATGCTACTAGCTTTGTGTTTGAAGAAATGAGAAGGCTTACTTGACGCGGAGAGAGAAGAGAGAAAATAAATAAATAAATTGTCTGAAGAATAATCTATTAAGGGGTAATTTCGTCCAAAAAAATTCTCTCAGACAATCACTTAAATGGACATTAGTTAAAAACACCCCTTAGAATAGTTGAGGAGAATTTTTTGCCAAAAATATTCATAAGGAGGGTTTTTCGCAACCGGGTAATAGTAAAGAGGAATTTTTTGCAATTCGCTGTTTACTATATGATATAATTAATAATAATATATCATATTACTTTTCTTTGTTTTAAAAAAGCAAAGTTACTAAAAGTTTCAAAGTTTTTTTTGTTCGTGAAGCTAAACCTAAAATCTCAAATGTCAACCTAGGAAGAATAAAAATAAGGAATAGCTTCATACCATCTCACTTTTCTTTGTTTTTATAGTTCCTATTAGATCTTTTTCTTATTTATTTATATATCTATGTCATTTTTGACTGAATATACATATAAAATAAAATATTAATATTAATATTTGAGTTCAAATTAAACTGTAATTGTTGACATCTCAACCCAAGTCTAACCCTAATTAAGTTTGGATTGAGAATTTTCAATCTAATAAGTCCAACCCTAATTGTAAAAATAATTGTTTAAGTTCATACAAAATCGAGCTGGGACTTGGGCTGAGTTTGAGTTAGCCTACCCAAGTTACATCCCCTACGCAAAAGGTCAATTATTATTATTTTTTAATATTAAAAAATTATTCTGGAATGTGATTCATTATTGGTTATATAGTCATGCATTGAGTTTTTGATATGTTAACATGAAATAGATTTTTTTTTTTTTTTTTTTTTAAAAAAAGGTGAATTTTATTAAAGAAATAAGAGTACAAGGCTAACAATAGCTAACCAGAGGATAAATGGGCTAGACCCACAAAACATACATACATAGCTAACCATAACATAAATCAGCCCATGGTATAGGCCCAGAGTGGAACTAAGTCCAAAGTTTGAAATGGTAGACCATTATTTACTACCCCAAATTCCGGTGAGAAACAGTAGAACTCCGTCAAAGTTGCCTTCATAATGCCTGATCCGGTGGTTTTGGCGGTGGGCAAATTATAGTAATAGGAATGTCCCACTCTTCTACAATCCTTGAAGCATTGGATGTATCTGAAATTGAGGATGTGAGAAGCTTGGTTATGATTAATTCCAGGGTTTGGTAAAGCAGTGAGTTAGCTGTAATGGCTTTCTTTTAGAAAATTCTCCTATTGCGCTCATTCCAAGTATAGTAAACCAAGGTTGCCAAACTCAATTTTGAGACTGTGTGACTTTGGAAATTTAAAGTGCCCTTCCAATGGTGAACTACCGAAGTAATAAGGTCAGACCATGATGATGGTTGAATATGAAACCCATATCGTGCTTGAAGAAATGCCCACAAAGGTTTGATGAATTGGCATTGGAAGAAGATGGTGGTCATGCGATTCTAAATCTGTGTTGCAGAGTATGCATAAGGTGGAATTTATGTGGGCTGTACATCTCCTATTCAGTTAAGAAGTCTTTTTTAGATTGCCACCCATAGTGTGAATGAGTGCTTTGGGATGGAAGGTTTTGTCCAAACTAGGTGTGGCCAAGGAAGGATTGTGTGATGCTTGTTGAAGTGTTTTATTGTGCTGGCTATGGAGAATTGGCCATTGTGTGATGGAATCCACAGAACCTTGTCACAGGAATTGGTTTGAGGGCTGGGAATGAGGGATGTGTGATGTAGCTATGGGATAGTGGAGGTTATGGAGGGGGGAAAAGACCAAGTATTGTCGATAATGAAGGAACAGACCTTTGTTTTACTGTCAAAGCCTGAATTATTGATGGACTAAATGGTTGTTAATAGGTGTAGAGGGCCAAGGTTGCACCAATTGTCATACCAAAAATTGGATTTAGAACCATCTTCAATTTTTAGTTTGATAAGGGGTTTGATTTTTCCTCTCAGGCTTAATAACTTCTTCCAATTCCAAGAGCACTGTCCAAAAACCTTGATCTCCCAAATACTTTTTCCCTTGAGAAAGTATGAGTTGATCCACTTAACCCATAGCATGTCTTTTGATGAAATGATATTCCAAAAGTGCTTCATGATTGCACTGTCATTCCTAGTGTGAAGATTTGGCAAGCCTAGTCCTCTAGCTCTCTTAGGCAATGTGATACCCTCGGATTTCCAGATGCGGGTTGGCCAGGCCCACGCCCGAATACCTGAGGATATCAAAAACAAATCGGTAATAATCGAACACAGAGTACAAAATAGATAAATAAAAATAAATAAATTTCTGAAAGAAAACTAAAATGATAATCCATTAATTGAAACCTCAAAATAAAATTCCATTAAATAATAAATTATTCTGATACAATTAATCCTCCAATAATACAACTTGGGAATCCATACTATGTGGACCCCTAGAAAAACTTAAACCAATGATCAATAGTAAACAACTGTCTACAACTAGATACTGAATCATAAAGGAAACTCTTATGTAGATAATCCGGAAGAATGAAGTAGACTGATCCCTGCTCAGCACGAACAACCTCTACTCTTGACGAACACATGAAAAATAATGGTGGGTCAGACCCACAAATAAGTTCTACTCTACTACAGTCCAAAAAGAGATCCGATATACGTATACATCCTAGTCAATCCGACAATAACTTGTAGTCTGTATATATATATAGATACACATTAGAGGAATCTCACTAGACTATAAGGTTGTCTCAACCTGAATAGTAGGCAACATGCAAATCGCACATATAGTGGGCATGAGTACCTAGACCTACCAGGGTACACAACTACATTATATCTAGCTACACATCCCTAGCAATATATGCACTATAACCACTGATCCTGAAACTCAAGCTCATATCATGGCACATAATTATATATATAAAATCTATTGTATCCATCCATAAGTAATCCAGATAGGTCATTCAACTTGTTCAGTTGACCTGACACGAATATAAGTAGGACTTAACATATTAGTTAATCCATTCCCTTATACAAAAATAGGTAGGATTTAACTTCTTTGGTTAATCCGTCCCTAAAATGCCACCGTCCCATACTGGTACATTAAACCACACAATCCAATACATGAT